TTTCAACAGTGTGCATGAGAACCTCCCCCCCCCCCCCCCACACACACACACACACACACTCCCCTTGCCACACCTGCACAACTACTCTAAATAATGATCACAGATCTGTCTTTTGAAGATTTGTAAAGTGCTTTGATCCCTGCATGCAAGCATGCCTGCACAAGCATACAGAGTGACACATGTCAAAATGCCATTTTGAGAATGAGTAGATTTTCTACTTTCAGTAAAGGCTTATTTTTTAAGGCACACTGTAAAAACACAATTACCAAAAATTCAGAACACACACATGCAAACTATTGTATGGAATCTCTAAATAACACACAAACCATTTTTTTGCAAAATATGTGTTATAATGGAGTCAGAAGTAAAGAAATACAGCAGAATCATTTAATTCAAATGCAGTGTCAGTCATTGCCCTGCTATATATGGAGAAAATACGCCATCTATTGGAAAACGGTAAAAACTAACCATCGAATGAATGAATGAATGGTCTGAGAACACAGACAAAATAATATTTTTTAAAAATTATGCTAATATTTATGCTTATCATAAAAATATGATTTACATGGAAGTCAATGGCGCAAAAAAAAGCAGAAAGATGCTTAACGCTACTAAAAAATTATGCGTTATAATAAAGGAAGTTGAAGATTTTTTCTAACTATTTTTAGTAATTCCTTCAAAAATACACATCCTCCCCAAAAATAGATCAATTGCATTAACATAGCCAAAGTTATACACAAAAATACATGAGTCAGCACAAACAAATGCTTTAATGTTGGGTAAGGGTTAAATCATTTTCTTGAACCAGTTTGAGCTAAAATGACCCTTTACTGGGTGAATGACCCACACCGCCTTGTGTGGCCAGAATAGGGCTTGGGATTATGTTGTCATCAGTGACGCAGCTGCCATGTTGGCGACTTTCAAGTCCTTAACTGTTACTCCAGACACCAGCATGCTCACTGTCAGTCTTGCAACTTCATTTATTCTATTATTCATTGGATCGGTTATATTACGCAACCACGGTAAATTGTTGCTGTGTTGTGGGGCGTAACGTGATCCCCAGAGAAAAAGGTGGAAAACAAGCTAACTTTTCACGGAGACCAAGTATCTATAACAGAGTCTCGTCGGCCCGCTTGGATCACAACTGTAAAGCAACCAAACATCACCTTCTGGAGTATTTTCATTTTTTTAAGTTACAGATGGTGTATGTTTTTTACTCATCGTGTCTTTCCTTCAACAGCAACATGCACACACAACACACACACACACTGGTAGGCTAATGACGGCGCACTGACACAACACAATTCCTCCTGCTACACTTCTTCTATAGGATGACAATTTTGATCGTTTTACTAGGAAAACAAGCAAAAGAAACGTTTACGTCTCACCCGCACGTTTACATCCGCTCACACCACAAACATGTAGGCCGAACACGTCTGTTATGCAGAGCTACAGTGGCAACACGTTGTCGTTGGTTCTCTAGTCTTGGGTCTTTCATATGGATCCAAACCCTTAATAATGCTAATACTGGTCCCTGGCTTTCCTCTTTAACATATGCCTGTATATTCCCCACATCCGTTTAGGGATTTTAACATGTTAACGCTTCCTTTCTCCAAAATCTGCTTCTTCTCTGCAGCACACGGTTTGTTTACACTCGTAAGGTCATCAACATGTCTTCCACATCCCAGAATGCAACAAATAATCACGTGTGATCCCGAGCCTTGTAACGAATTTGCAACTTCGGACTGCCAGTCCAGTCTGTTGGACTTAGAAAAAAGTTGAGCTGACATACTTGGTGCAGCAGTCTGCTTCCAGCAAGTTTCCTTCATGTTATAGATCATGACCACAGCTGATTTGTTTGATTTACTTGTGAATCGCTACTGTCGATATTAATGAAGGCTGGGGAGACATTTCAACATTTAGATTAAGGTGTTAAAAAAACAATCACACAGCGAGGAGCTAAGTTGTGCTTAGGGGTTCTACTAAAGGGACACTAGGAACGCTAAAAGCAAGCCATAACTGCCTAGTCTCCCCTTAAAACATTTAGTTAATTTAGTATTTTCTAAGTTTTTTTAGTTTTGCACAGTCCGTGTAAAAATGGTTCAGGATAGATTCCTCTGCATGTAGTACTAAAAACACGACAAAGGAATCTTGTTTCCTATGCTGTGATGTTTGAGTTACTGAGCTTTAAATCCAGCGGCGCTACGGTAGCAACAAAGAGAGCTGCAGGCACAATTTAGGAGCAGCACTTCATGATAAAAGGAGACAAAGATTCCTTACTGAGAAAATAAAACAGACATGGTGGCCATGATGAGACTTGTTTTACTGAAGCTACACACACTCTGAACCTTCAGATCAGCAGGTCTTGCATTTGCATGTGGGTGTTTTTATGCTTTAGATGTAGAAAGTTTCTCTTGAATGGTTCCTGCTCTGGTTAGAAGTCAGCTCGTCTCCTTCAGGAAAATTCTCACCGGCTCTCTGAACTGCAGGGAAGATACTGGCCGACCACAACGACCCCACACAGCCCCACTTCTAATACTAAAAGTAATCCTTTAAAAAAACATTTAAATTAAGAAACAACTAAACACTGTTGCTTTTTGTGAGAGAAGCTTCAGGCAGGGGCGTAACACAACATCCTACACTGTTGGCACTCACTAGCGTCTCCCCCACATTACTCTTTACTATGATCGTTCAGATCTTCACTTAACTGTAAATGCCTCATGAAAAAAGGACAAAATCATCAGTTTGTCTGCAGATGGAAAATAAGCTGTTCACTACAATAATTATAGCATTTTGAGTCAAATATATTATAAGTAATGTTAGGTGAAGTACTAGTTATGCTTGATAATTACTTACTAACTGCAGAGGCTCTTCCAAAATCACTTCAGTCTATAGACATTAAACACATTTCTGATGTCAACACTCCAGAAATATAAACTCAGTGGTTTCTGAACAAAACATGTTTTAAATGGCTTCAACTTCTTCAATAATAGAACTAGTGAACTCAGCAAGCAAGTTTACGATGTAGAACGCTTCATGAAAAGAATATGTGAACATATGTGTAATCAGCAGTTTGTGCTTTCCCTTCATGCATTAAGGACAGAGCTGCAGCCTGCTGGGGGAGATAAACAAGGCGAGAGAGAGAGAGAGAGAGAGAGAGAGAGAGAGAGAGAGAGAGAGAGAGAGAGAGAGAGTGTGTGTGTGTGTGTGTGTGTGTGTGTGTGTGTGTGTGTGTGTGTGTGTGTGTGTGTGTGTGTGTGTGTGTGTGTGTGTGTGTGTGTGTGTGTGTGTGTTGGCCAATATGTGTTTCACGCACCCGGCTGGCTCCTCATCAACTTATTTTTCCAAATTTGGTCTCAACTGCACTTTTTTCTGCTCCAAATCTCCTAATTATTGGATGAAAGAACAAAGTCAGAGACAAAAATGTGTGTAAGTGCACTGCCTGGACAAAAAAAAGTCTCCACCAAAAAAAAAAACCCCAATAAAATTAAACAAAGGTCACTCTAGTAGTTTGTTGCCTTGAACTTTTGATTACGAAATATCCGATGTGGCGTTGTTTCGATAAGCTTCTGCAGACGTCACAAGATTTATTTCCATCCAGTGTTGCATTAATGTGTCACTAAAACCTTGTATTGATGATGGTAGAGCTGCACAAAGCCTTCTCCAGCACATCCCAATGATGTGGCTAAGGTCTGGACTCTGTGGTGGCCAATACATATGTAAAAATGATGCGTCATGCTCCCTGAACCACTTTTCACTACTGGAGCCCATCGAATCCTGGCGTTGTCATTTTGGAATATGCCCGTGCCGTCAGGGAAGATGGAATAACCTGGCCATTCAGTATAATCAGGTAGTCAGCTGACCTCATTCTTGGAGCACATCCTGTTGAAGAACATAGACCTGAACAACTGCAGCAACCCCAGATCATAGCACTGCCCCCACAGGCTTGTACAGTAGGCACTCGGCATGATGCCTCTCTTCTTACCCTGATGCACCATCACTCTGGAACAGGGTCTATCTGGACTCATCAGTCTTTAATTACGTGTTTTCTGTAAAGTGACCTTGGGTGTCCTGAAAGGCGCTTTGAAATAAAATGTATTAATATTATTATTATTATTTAATAATGCTGTGGCGGAGCACACCTGAGGCCGATCACCAGGAGAAGAGTCTGATTGCCCTGAGACCTGGGACGAGCACTAGGAGTGTGTAGGTCAGACCAGGAGAGCCTAATACAGAGTTGAACCTGCAAGCTGTGTGGTCTGAGTGGTGTGGGGGAACCCAGTGTAGCTGGTGTATTGCTACAAATGCAATCTGCAATCTCCTTAGATGTTTTCTCTGACTGATGCATGCCGATGATCTGACCCTTCTCAAACAGACTAACATCTTTTCCACGACCACCAGATGTGTCTTTCCACATGGTTGTTTAAGAAATGAGAAGAAACTCATTGCACCAGTTGGGGTTAAATAACATGTTGTCAGCTGAAAGATAATCACCCATGCAGTACTTATCCAATAGGAAGCCCCAACCTATTTGCTTAGTTAAATCCAGGTGGCAACTTATTTTGGACAGGCAGTCCATATATATATATATATATATATATATATATATATATGAAACTGCAAAATATCACACATTTTAAAAGCTCACTGTACCTCCAACTATACTCAAATCCCATTATATGCAATTTAAATAAATATGAAATGAGCTGAAACTGTTACGTGTGGACTAAAACCAAAAAGGGGACCAATCTTTTTTTCACAGCTCTGTTTTTGTTCAGGAACATAGAAAAATGTTCTTTTTACTGAACAGTTTGAAGACTTTTTATCCTGCAGCTTTAGTTTGCCGTCATGCTCCACTGATAAGAGCACCGGTCTTCCTATAGGAGGAACCTGGCCTGATCTAAATTCCTCATGGAATGAAGTAGAAAACTGTCTTGTTATTTAACTCTTCTACAAACTAAATAGATTCTCTTTTTACATTTTCCGTTTCAGATTATCACCTTTCCCGCAGACAGAGCAGCAATAGGGTCTCTCTCCAGTGTGCAGCCTCTCGTGGTACCTCAGGCTGTGGGGGTCCCTCAGAGACTTCCCACAGAAGCTGCAGAGAAATCCCCCTTTGGTGTGGGAGAACATGTGTCGCTGGAGATCAAGCTTCTGGGTGAAAGCCTGGCTGCACTCGAGGCAGGGAAACGGCCTCTCTCCTCTGTGAAGTCTCAAATGGTACTCTAGGTTCCCTGAGGCGGACAGACAGACCAAGACCAAACATGTTAGGGTGGAGGGGGAGGCGACAAAGAGAGGAGGACTCAAATGATTATGTATCAGTCCAATAATGTGAGAAAATTTGCCTTTAAACAAAAAAAATTATGCTGCCAGTTTGACGGATGGCAGGCTGCAGTAATTGATCACAGCTGGAAGTTTTTTCTCAGATGAATTTTTCTTCTACGGCAAAAATTAACTCATCAATGCAACAGCAACGGGTTTACAGACAGAAACACAAACTTTAACGTGACAGGTTTTTGTTTCAGATGACTATTTATTTATTTTATCATATTAGTTAAGAATTTGATGGATTTAAATGTCCACACTTTTGTCAGTAATAGGATTATTATTACACACATATGCTCAAAATAATCATATTTCAAAAGCCTTTCATTCCTTGAATCAAAGCCTGTCACCCGCTGCCTTTCATGACACGTTTTCCACTCAGGTCATCTTATGGTGAAACGTGATGAAATGAAACCAATTGGGTCAAACTTTGAAAATGATTTTAGCAGTTTCCCAACATCTCATACAATGGGTTTGACACACGACCTGCAAGACATGGTTTACTGTTCAGATTGGATTAAAACGCTAAATGGTTTTTTTTTTTTTACTAGTGAAGATAGCAGTTTAGATCACATGACCTGTCTTAATGTATTAGGTGAATGTGTGTATTTATATATATGAATAAAACTAATTTTTAAATGTATTTTAACACAACTTAATATATATGGAGCTGAGCTATGATGACTTCTCCTCTACCTCCTCCACATAAAGTGACTGTCTTCCTTCAGTTTTGGGTCTTTTTCTTAAAATCAGATGAGTTGCTCCACACACCCATGAAAATTAATAAAATCTTTATTTTCTGATACAAATGCACTAAGTAACAAGCTTTATGATCAATGAAAACAGTCAAAGTTAAACTTGTGTTTAGCTCTTTTTTTAAGCGTGTGCTATAGAATCACATCACAAAGAGGAAGAAAAGACAGTAAAACTGACAGCATTTGTTCTTTTCCTCAGTGACAACAAAATCATTAACAGTGTTTCTGCAGGAAATGAAGACTCCAGTGTCCGTATGTACGAATAAAGAGCTGTCAAAGAAGGGCGCTAAACACACACCACCCCCTTTAGGGGAGGTAACAATAAGAGAGAACAGATGTGAACTAAACACCAGACAGAGCCTCACAGAGGAGAGCAGCTGCCCTAAGCACAGTCTCCTCACTGCCACAAGCTCTTAAAGCTGCGTGCCACAGCAACATTCTGCAGGATGGAAGAATGTCGGACCAGAATGCAAAGGTGTGACGTCATCAGAATTCTGCTCGGCTCTGTAGCCGGACTCGGTTCCATGTTTGAAATGTGTTTCCCCAACCGCTCTGCACGGAAGTGGCAAAATGACGTTTAGCGCTCCTAACAAGTGGATTCTCAGCACTTTGCTCATAAAACAGAAGACCAGCAGGCATATGTGAGTTAAAACATCCTGATACTGTTCAGGTGTAAACATTGTGCTCCATCCCTGTGTTTGAACTCAGAAGTTGCTCCTTGATGCCACAGATTTATGATGATTTAGCTTGTTTCTTTATTTTACTCCAGAATAAGAGATTAAATTATTACAAAAGTAGTTCAATGTAGTTTAATTAGTCATTCAAAAGATTTTAACATGCTGCAGTGTGTACGTGTGTGTGTGTGTGTGTGTGTGTGTGTGTGTGTGTGTGTGTGTGTGTGTGTGTGTGTGTGTGTGTGTGTGTGTGTGTTACACATATAGGACTGCATGAGGCAGCATGGTTTCATGAAATCCATGCGTCTTATATCTTGGCTGAAGTAATGGCTCAGGAAAATAACTTCTATTTCATAAATAATGACATCTCTGCAGTGTTCATGATAATATTCTATGTTTTACCTCCCAGACCAAAGATAGGTACAATATATCATGATACAAGCCTTTTAAAACATGTTAAAGTGTTACAAGAGGAGATAAATGCATGAATTAAGTTCATGTTTGGAGACCAACCTTCACAGTTTGGAGGCTCACGCTGGTGAGGAGACACCATTAGTTCTAGTAACACCTGGGCTCCCAAGGTGTATTCTGACAGGATGGACGTTACGGGACCCTTAAGGATTCCAGTTGGATGATTGGAGGATTATTTAGGAGGATTGGAATGAACAAACTGATTTCAGTGGTGAAGGTTTAACTGAGTGAGTGAACCCACTACCAAGGATGAACTCTGCTAACTTTAAAAATCAGCTGCTCTAAATAAGCATGAAGGTCAGAGAGGAGCTCTACATGGACATGGATAAAGGAACTGTAATGTAGAGGTAAAGTAGGGCAGGGCCAACGTTAACAGCTGTCATACGGTCCATCTGAAATGTTTGGCTTTCACTTAGCTTGTTATGTGACAGGTTAGAGCACAGTCTCATGTTAGAGTTTTTCATGAAATCATTGAGATAACTCACATACTGATGGCATCTAAAAATTAACTTTTTTTTCAAAATAAAGAATAATTTTAATCACAATTGAAACGTACAATCCTAGAAAAATCTCATCCAATCAATGTGCACGTCCTGTTCTCACGGATTAGATAGAAATCCTTCATCAAAGTCTGTGTGTGTGTGTGTGTGTGTGTGTGTGTGTGTGTGTGTGTGTGTGTGTGTGTGTGTGTGTGTGTGTGTGTGTGTGTGTGTGTGTGTGTGCGCGCACACATGAGCGTGTTGTGAACTGGTGTTGTGGTTTTGCACTGATGATGACAAAAATGTATTTAAGTAACTTACTTTGAGTACATTTTATATACGATACTTTTTACTTTTACTTGAGTAAAAATTTAGGCAAGTACTTTTACTTGTACGTGAGTAAAAAATGATCAAAGTATTGGTACTCGTACTTAAGTAGGAAATTTTAGTACTCTTTCCACCTCTGGCATTTAGTCCAACAATATTTATGGACTCCTGGGAGTGAGTAGGATCTGTTTAACGTGAGGAAATATGGGTTTTCTGTGCCAAAGGTTTCATTTGACTCGGCTGGGTCAAAGCTGGGTCACGCAGAACTTTAACCCACTTTTGACGACATAAAGTCTGCAAGAGTCTGCTGCAAACCATAACATCTGAACACCTGCAGTGCCAGAAGATGCGTTCTCATGGAAGATAGTCATAACATAACAAAGTCTTAAACTTCCTTTGTTTATTAATGCTAAATAATCATTTTACCATTGTACTCATTATAAATGTATTTTAATCAAATGAATGATTATTATGCTTTGGGTAATCATAACTAATGAATCAATGCTTAATTAAGTAATGTTTTGAGGATGTTTGGTAACGACCTTCACACACACAAACACTCACTCAAACACTCACACACACACAAACTTTCACAGTAAACTCCAAAACACATTTGCTCTGACGCACAAGTTTTGCTTTGAGAAGAGAAAGGCTTTTGGTAAGTTTTCAGTTCATGATTCAGTTCGGGGTTTGACAACGAAAGAGAGAGGACGTGTGAACAACCGCTAACGGGGGAACGGAGCCCACCGCCCCCCCCCCCCCCCCCCCTCTCACGCTGTTCCTGCCAAGCCAGACAGGAATAGCTGAATTGCAACCGCTAATGCAGACTCGTCCAGAGTCTTTGATTTTCGGAGTAATTTAAACTTAAGAAAGCGCATCTGCAAACGCTTCATCATCACGTGTACCGAGGGCATCTCTGGACCGGATCGGCGCACACCTTCGTCTCCTCTGCCAGCCAAGGTGTGTCTTGGATGAAACATCCTCCTGGGACGTTCCGGATCTGAACGAGGGTCCTCGTACGGTGAGGCAGAACACAATAGATAGCGTTTGATGCATCTTTTCCAACAAAACCTTTATTCAACCCATCACTTTTCACTCAGACACCTGTTTCTTCCTGAAGCAAAATCAGACGCACACATGCCTTCATCTCACCTCATTATTAAATTTCACACATTCAACACAAGGTCTATTTGAGCAAGTTTAAAATATCAACTGTTTAAGATTGTTCAACAAAGTTGCCAATGTTGATTGTTGTTTCCTATGCTTGTCATTTCAAAATCATTAGTTTAATTTGAAGAATTAAAACTTTTAATTTTCAAACTTGTCTCTTCATTGAACTGAAACACAGACCCACGGATATTATCGACAGTTTATCGATGAAAACAACCTTTGAGTCTTCTTAAAACTATAAAATTTGGTTATTAATTTATTAAAATTTATATCTCAAATTAATATGTAGAATGGTTCCTCTTTCATAAAAGAGCATAAACTATTACACTACATCTGCATCCAAGTCACAGCCATCTACTTCTGGTCCATGGGTCCCCTACAGTCAAAACAATGATTTAGAGTCTATGGAGCAATAAAACTTGTTTTCTGATCCAGTTTGATATGTGCCATGGATTTCAAATTTAAAGGGGCATTATGGAAGTTTGACAGCCAAAACATGTATAGAAATAATACATTTCTTCTTCATACATTCTCCAGCAATGCCCTGGTCCTGTAGAATGAGCCCTGGCATTTTTACTGTGATTGCCTGTTTTTCTGCAAAATCACAGAAAAAGAGAGATGCTCGGGTCGAGCAGGCTGCTTCATGCGCGTTCACGCTCAGGCATCGCCCGTAGCATTTGCTATCAGTAGCTTTAGCAGCAGAGAGAGAGGCCGTGCCAACTCAGTGACTTTGTCGCTGTTCCTAACACCTAGTGACAAAGCTAGCTACCCTTAGGACCCTTAGCTACTTTCTGTAGAACTTTCGTCTAGATATTTCCTGCAAATTAGCAACAAAATAGCCACTTTCGCTCCGAACCGTTCTTTGAAAGTTGTTTCAGCTGTCATCAAGGATATAAAAGTTACTGATACAAAGACGTCACTGGCGCTTTAGCTCACCTAGTAAAATGTCGGACTCTCGTGCAGAAGACCTGGGTTCAATTCTAGATGTGAACACAGTTTATTTAGAGTTTCTTATTTACATTAATGGTATATTTTTTTACAGTAAGATGCCCAAATTTTTATTTGAGACTCGCCGAATGGCATTGATTTCACAGATAAAAAAAGATGTGGGTTCAACTTTCATTTTGGAACAATTTTTCAAGCAACGGAAGGGAATCATCTGAGCATGCAGGACTGACCCATCTTAAACCTTTGTCGGCTGTGCTGAAGAGAAAGGTACATAACCAGATTATTTAATTAATTAGCTGCGCGTTCTCCTGTCCTCTGTCCTCCGGGACGGACACACACACACACACACACACACACACACACACACACACACACACACACACACACACGGGACTGTCTCAGCTGTTATTTTTGTTAAGGAGTGTGCACGTACAGCATGCACGCCTCATGCATGAACCCACTATTGAAGCGGCCATTACGCTTTTGGCCTGAGGGGGCAATCGCGAGCCTAAAAATTCAAAACTCCGTAAAGTCCCTTTAATGTCAGTGAATTTTAAAGACACATTTTTATTCATTTAAATGGAAGTATAACAGATATGATTCAGGGCGTAAGGCACAGCAGGTCAGAAAATTTGTTTCAGAGCCCCATTCATTCACTTCCACTCATTTTTGTTCAGGGCACCCATGAGCTGACCTCAAGGGGAGGAGACTGGCTCCATATGGAATGAAGAGAATGAGCTTCAGCTGGACAGCTGCGTTTATAATGAGACGACATCTTTGTCAGGAGGGATACAACCCATCCTCTTCAACAGTAATGCATGTGACATTGGTCTATGAACAGTCAGATGTGGAAACATCCATGTTTACCATTTGAGAATACCCTTAATTTTTTTTGTGCCTCTGGACATAATGACAATAAAGACTATTACCGTAATTTCCGGACTATAGAGCACACCTCAATATAAGCCGCACCGGGCTAAAAGCCGCAGATATCTACTGAATTGAAAACATAGTTTAACTGAACATAACTGAACAAACAAAGCGGAAAAGTTATTGATTCGTTTATTCATCGTCCTCCTGCGCACTGAAACCATTGAAGTCATCTTCTTCAGTGTCGGACTTGAACAGCCTCAGAAGATCTTAGTCACATACCTTTTCTGTGGCGATGTTAGTGTCGCTCTCCGTGTTGCTGTCATCATCCCGGGGTGAAGCTGGGAAAACACGCAGCGCCGTTTTACTGTGAAAAAATCATCCTGGGTGCTTTCCGTAGCACTCCTTTAACCATTCCTTCATTAGACTTTCTAGCATACATCCTTTCTGGTTGACTAAAGCCGCACCTCATTATAAGCCGCATGGTTCAAAGCGTGGGAAAAAGTAGCGGCTTATAGTCCGGAAAATACGATATATTCTATTTAAAGAGCCTTGATGCTGTTATGTGAACTGCATTTAGATTTAGTCCTATTGTTGAGGATGAATTAAAAAAAAAACAATCACATAGGTTTGGATAACAATTAAAACTCTTATAAAATCTGAACCATTAATTTAACCTAGCTCATTTTTACATATTTTAACATTTGTTATTTATTTTGTTTGTCGTGGTTATTATGATTGCTTGTTGGCACCTATGAAATATGTCTCATGCATATACAGATTTAAGAGTTTTCCTTTGAACTGATTTAATGTCCAGATTATTTTACAGGTCAAACATGGCGGCCTTAAACAAGATAAACTGTCAGACAAATGTCTAGCTCCATCAGAATGATCACAGCTGACTGCTGATCGGATTGCTGCAGCTGCAGGATCACACCTTACATACCTTTCTGTCTGAAACACTTCCCACATTGCTGACAGATGTGAGGCTTTTCTCCCGTGTGGAGCTTCATGTGGTTCCTCAGGGAATTCGAATTGGCCAGCAACTTGGAGCAGACTGAACACTGCAACTGGGAGACCAAACAAAAAACAAGTTGCAGCAAGCATCTCTGATGACTTTAAAGGGGCCATATCAAAGAAAAGCCACTTTTAGGAGCTTTTGATCTTGTGATATTGCTATTTCCTCATGAAACCCATTTTTGCCTACATTCATGTATTTTCCTGTCTCATGTGCAAGTTAAGACCTGCAGACATGAGGATGGAAACTGAGTGTGTCATCCTCCCCATGAATCTAGTCTCAGATCTGAAACCTGTCTCCCCTGGAAGTAGACCACTAATGCCCAGATTTTCAGAGTTGCGAGTATAGAGCGATTCATTTCATGCCGTGGTTGAGAATGTTTTAGTCTGAAAGTCATTAAAAAATCTGCACCAGTACCAGAGTGGATATTCTGACAAATTATCTCTGTGTTGGGGACAAAACGCCGCTGTGAAAACCATGTGTCCTGTCCATAAAGACACACCTAATGGCCAGCAAATTTACTTATATTTTAGTTTCATTGATTGTTATCTGCAAAATACTTGTTGTGTCTCCAAAGATCTTTGAATTTGGTCATTTCAAAGCAGTATTTTATTTGACACTCCGACTCACTTCATATGGACTCACATTGGCTAAACAAACAAAGAAAAAACAGTGGAAAAAGAGTGGAAAACATAATACTGGCAAGTGTAGCTAAAGATAGAAGAAAAAAGTTACTGCCGGGATCAGGAGGCGCGCCTGCGCTAAACTATATGCCAGCCTGTCACTCTAACCGCTGGTCCACTGAGTCTGTTACAAAACATGTCGTCTAACACATATCCTGAGCTGGCCATTACATGCATCTTTGTAGACAGGACGAATGGAACGAGACCAGAACAGGTTCAGGGGGAGAAGAAATGCCAGATGACGCAAATGGGTTACATTCTGCTGCATGTAGGAAAAATCGTAACATCAGTCAAATGCAGCCGAGACAGGAAAATGCATGAATGAAGTCAAAAAAGGGTTTAGGGGTATTTATCATGAGGAAATGACAATAGAAGATGGTGAAAAGCTCCAAAAAGTGGATTTTCCATAATATGGCCCCTTTAATAAAGCTGGTATGATTTGAAATGACCTTTGGAGACTGTGTGTAGCTCATCTTGCTGCAGTGGAGGCGGCGATGAACGCGCAGGGAAGGACGTCGTGCATAAGACTTGCCACAGTTCTCACAGGTGTAAGGCTTCTCTCCGGTGTGCAGGACCATGTGCTCCTGCAGGTCCCGCCTCAGACAGTAGGTTTTCTCACAGTTGGGACAGGAAAATGGACGCTCACCGCGGTGACTCATCTGGAAGCAAATCCTCTATTATTTTAAGTAATATGGATCAGCCCCACTGCTGTGAGTGTTGATTCTTCTTTGGTTTCCTGCTGGGGCTTTTTAACAAGGGAGAGGTCAATCTTTTCAGTACACCAGTGCTCTGGTTCTGAGTCTGGTTTGTGTTAAAATCTTTCCTTTCATTTCAGTAACAAGCAACACTGGCCTAGAGGGCTGTCAAATAAGATGATGGAAGATCTGAGTAATAAAATCCACATTTTCATCATTTTTTAAGAATCCTGACTATAAAGGACTTTTCACTCAGGATTTCTCACATGGAAATCCACGTTATAGATCTTTTTAATGTTGAAAATCTAATGACGTTTGACCAGAAATTATTAAAATAAAAGAAGTTAAAAATGACATTTAAAACAATAATGAATCACATAATATTAAAATAAATCTGGCAATTATCTGTAACTGAAGTGGAAATGTGTCGTCTTCTACAATGCCAGAACTATTTCTAAGGTTCTCTAGGGAGGTTTAGGCCTTGATACTGGGAGCGACCTGGGAGGGGGAATTGGAATTAAGATTCCAAGTAGGTAAGGTGTTTGGGAAAATGCTAAATCCGTAATCTGTCAATAATCTGGGGCATCACAACCTAACCCTTACATAAGAGTGAATTTATCATCAGACCATTTCTAAAAGTTTAAACCGGTCTCTTCACGTTGCGTCTAAAGAACTGATACCTTTACAAAGATAATGGGCAGTTTTTCTCCTGTCTCCTTTATTAACTGTGCTAATCACAGGAATCTGGTTAACGTTCTGACATTTTGGGCCTCATCATACTTTCTGGTAAGTGCAGATTATTAATGGAGCATCTAGTCTAGCATGACAGAAAACCTGATGTCTTATTTATGTTTACACTATAGCATGAGGATATCACCTGAGCAGCGGCTTGTCTGATTTCTGACTACTGAACTCTGCTCTTTGTTCATTTGTTTCATGCTTCTCCTTTATGTTGTTCTTTGAAAATAGCAAATAAAAATATTTTTAAACTCTTGGGGAAAGAAAAGAAATGACATCTCTGAGATTTTACAGCGTTCCAGTTAATACATCAGCCTTCAGCTTGATCTCGTAACATCTCTGTGTCATCACTTCAAAGACATTACCTGAGCCACTGAAAAAATACAAAAGTTTGGAAGCTGGGGCTTTTTTTTTTTTGGATTAAATCAATTTTCCAAACCCATATGGGGCCCAAGTTGTTTGACATGACTCTGACCAGAACATCCATGTTAAAGTTAAATGAGAGGAGAGAAAATCAATATAAAAATACATGTTTTACTAATCCACAGAACCACCACTCCCTGTACCTGATGGGCTTTGAAGCTTTCTGCTGAGGTGTAGTGTTTCCCACAGGCCTGGCAGGTGAATGGTTTCTCATGAGTGTGGCTAAACTGATGTTTCTTCAAGTGACCAATCTGGAAGAACTTTTTACCACAGCTGGAACAGCTGTACCGCCTCTCTCGGACCTCCGGTTGCAACTCAGAGACCTTCTCAGCAAGACAAGCTGTGACAACGGACTCAGGGTGTGATGGAGAGACATCTAGGCCTTCAGCTGAGTCTTTGCTCTGCTCTTCATTCTGTTTGGGTGAGTCAGATCCAGCAGGGGGGTGTCGAGTTCTGCTGGACAGACTGTGAACTCGTCGGGGTTTAGCATCTAGACGAGAGCTGCAGCGGACAGAAAGAGATGCGGGGAGTGAGTCGTCTGTGTCTTTGTCTGAAGGGACAGCGTTTGAGTGTCCAACATCTGCTGTGTCTGAAGGAATGTCTTGCTGGATGTCACACTCAGGACTCTGGTTGGATTGGATGATTTTAATTCTCCTCTTCCTCCCAAGTGTGATTGGGTGGCTCCTCCTCAAGCAGCTGTGTTCCTCCTCCTCATCCTGACTTTTCAACTCTTTCTTCTTTGGTCCTTCTTTTGTCTTTTTGGTTATTACAGCCTCTGCCTCTTTAATTTCATCCATGCTTTCCGCTGTCCAATAAAAACATAAAAACTCTCTAGGTTATGATGAAATAAAACACATATTTCCACCTCCTAAAATGCAAAATGTTTTTTTAAATGCATTTCTTGTGTGTAGGATTTGGAAATCGCCTCTTTACCTTCCTGATCATGAATTTGGTGTGCCACAGGGTTCTATCCTTGGTCCTTAGTCATGTTTTTGTAACCAGAAATTAAACGGTCTGTTTTAGTCAACCTCACCTCCAGCGGCCTGAGCTCCATCCATACCTGAGTGAAGTTGGCCCCCCCACCTTCTTCAAATGCAACAAAAGTGGTATCAAACCATTGTGCTACGTTTGTGCTGGTTTGTGCTGCAAAAATTTTAGTTTGTGCTACTATCATTTTAAAGATATTAATAAAAATGTCTAGAGGTCATCAGAGGTCAACCAGCCCCCCCACATTAATGGAATCAAACAAAACTGGTGTCAATCAACTGTTCTACGTTTGTGCTGGTTTGTGCTGCTAAAATTATCATTTGTGCTGCTTCTGTCTTGAAGATATTAATGAAAATGTAAAGGTCAAAAGGTCAACCAGCCCCCCCCCACCTTCTTCAAATGCAACAAAAGTGGTATCAAACCATTGTGCTACGTTTGTGCTGGTTTGTGCTGCAAAAATTTTCGTTTGTGCTACTATCGTTTTAAAGATATTAATAAAAATGTCTAGAGGTCATCAGAGGTCAACCAGCCCCCCCACATTAATTAAATCGAACAAAACTGGTGTCAATCAATTGTGCTACGTTTGTGCTGGTTTGTGCTGCTAAAATTGTCGTTTGTGCTGCTTCTGTCTTGATGATATTAATGAAAATGTAAAGGTCAAAAGGTCAACCAGCCCCCCCACCTTCTTCAAATCCAACAAAAGTGGTATCAAACCATTGTGCTACATTTGTGCTGGTTTGTGCTGCAAAAATTTTCGTTTGTGCTACTATCGTTTTAAAGATATTAATAAAAATTTCTGGAGGTCATCAGAGGTCAACCAGCCCCCCCACATTAATGGAATCAAACAAAACTGGTGTCAATCAACTGTTCTATGTTTGTGCTGGTTTGTGCTGCTAAAATTGTCGTTTGTGCTGCTATCATTTTAAAGATATTAATAAAAATTTCTAGAGGTCATCAGAGGTCAACCAGCCCCCCCACATTAATGGAATCAAACAAAACTGGTGTAAATCAATTGTGCTACGTTTGTGCTGGCTTGTGCTGCTAAAATTATCGTTTGTGCTGCTGTTGCTCATTAGCCTAGTGAACTAGACCAAATTTTTGCTTTGCAAAGTTTGGTCTAGGCATGCTCCATTGGAACCTCAGCAGCTCCTACCAGGACTCTGTCTAGCCAATCACAGCTCTCTAGAGGGGTTTCAAACACAAAAAGAGCTGTGATTGGTCCATAATAGAGGGCCAATCATAGTGCTCTATCTGCTTAGTGAACAAATCACAGAGCTTTATCTGCTTTGTGGGCCAATCAGGGCACTCTCTATATGCCTGGTGGGTGGGATGATTCAACAGAGTGAAACAAGAGTATGTCACATTCATTGTCCAGTGGAATGCGGAGATCATTTGAAATACAACGGTAGAACCCGCCCCACAACCGAGAGCCGTCAATGGAGCATGGCCACTAAATAATACATTTATTTAATCTGGCTTGCCAGGCTAGTTGCTCATGGAATCTAGCTTAAAAATGCAGA